TTGGGAGTGATGGCGTTTGTCTTCCCAAGTAACCGTTACGCATGACAGAGCCCTGCTTTCCTGGAGATGGCTGAACACCTGCCTGCCCATGGGAAGTGGTGAATGAATTCCTTGCCTTGCTTTGCTTGTGTGCGCGGCTTTTGCTTTACCTATTAAACTGTCTTTATCTCAACCCATGAGTTTTCTCACTTTAACTTTTCTAATTCTCTTCCCCATCCCGATGGGGGGGGAGTGAACGAGCGGCTGCGTGGTGCTCAGCTGCCAGCTGGGGTAAAACCACAACAGTCTCAAAGAGCACTCCTTCACTGTCTTCATGGCATCTTCGTAAGTCAACTTGCAAAAGGTTCTACAGCCATCTTTTGGTATGATTTGACACAGATGGATAAACAGGGGGAAAGCCAACCTGATGTGAACAGCCCCACCACTGTTTCAGTGGGCTAACAGTATCCCTCTGCAATGTACACGTAATGACTTTGGAAAGCGGACCTCATCCCATTAAAGGTGAAAAGGACAACATAGAAAATGTACTTTCCGTTACTGAAGTGGTATTATTGACAGGAATAGTTGTTATGGGACAGACATCTGTGTACCTGAGGTAAGAGGAGGAAAAAACCCATGGAGATGTAGTTATTCTACATCCACAACAGGTAGCTTAACCACATTTGCCTACCTTTTGATCAAAATAACAAAAAGACAACACATTTTTTTAAAAAAGGTCAGCTTGTATTGAAAATATCTCTGTAAAAACACCTGTAATGCTACAAGGTAGTACCAATACAAAACAGATCAATATTAACTTTCTTTAAATTGTTAAACTTTATTATAAATTAAAATTTCTTTACAAAAAATTGCACATAATTGACCACTCTTAGGTTCTGATGCACTGGCATTTGCAATAGTTTCTTTAATCTTCAAGTTTAATAGTCTCTGCCGTGAGTCCAATGCAGAAAAGGGCAGTAAGCAACCCTCTTAGAGCCTTCAAGTGCAAGAAGCATACTTGTGGCCACGGCAGTTACATTTTCCTTAAGAGCGGCTGCTTTTGTTTTAAATCCTGTAATGAAAAAGTCTCAAAAAAGGTTTAAAAAAAAGGAAAAACCCAAAATGGACTACTTGCTTTTTACTGTAAACACAGCCCAGTAAATTAATCCCAAACACAGATCTCTCAGGCATCAGTGAGAGTGTCAAGTGAATCAGGAACAGCAAAACAAAGAAAACAGAAAATAAAAACATAAAAAAATAATGTCTGTCATTTTGATTAACTATACTTACGTAGATGACGTTATGAGAATCTGGCAGGGCCCAGAAGCAAGGCCAGACAGGGAGTTCATTTTTCCAGAGGAGGGTCATGTTAATTGTTTCCAGGTTCAAGGAAAGCAGATTGGAGACTCAATACGCTCAGCAATACTCATCTGCCTTACACAGATCTTAGGCATGGATCAGCCTGAAGAATCATTCAACTGATTTTGGCATTTAATAGGACTTATGGCTGACCGTACCCAGCGTTCAGTGATTCTTGCTTTCTGTTCTGTAAGTGTTTAAATTTAAAAGCTCATCTAGGCTGACTCCAACCTCTTGGCACTTGGAAACTAGTTTTCTCAGGTTATCAGTTTTACCTCCTCCTGATGCTTCAAACAAGAGTTGCTGTAAGAGATGGGGAAGCAGATATAAGATTTAGCCAGAGCTTGAGCATCACCACATCTATGGATATGGGATATGCAGAAAATTTATATGAAACCTCAAACTGAATCATAAGGAGAAAACATTACATCTTTCCACAGTGTTGCACATAGAGGTAACTTCTGAAGGGCTCTCTGATATAAATGATGGACCTGTAAAATAAAAACAAGTATTAGAAGTCACCACAATTTCATGCACTCAGAAGTGAGTGATGTGAAGCACAAAAATAGTTTTGCAATAGTTTTAAAAATGTTTTTTAAAGTTTCAAAGTTAAGCATTAAGTTGCTACTAAATGCAAAGGCAAGTTAACGTCTGACCTTAATTCTGACCCTTGTATGCACATGATTAACTAGATGAGGACATTCTATTTTGCTTCACAAGACTCTTGCCTCATTCATTGCACAGGATGGAACTCTCAGGGAATGAAGCAGCTTACTGAATATTTCTCTTTAACCACTGAATATGTAGTCTCAAGGTCTTGCTTATTGCATACCATCCCAGCCCTGCAATGAAAATAACTTTCACAGGTTTTTCTTCTTCATCATCTAGCTGTGCTTTAACAATCGGTGTGCATCCTTGCAACTCTCTAAAAAGAAAAAATGGGGGGGTTTATGGGTGGAAATAGAGGACCAAAATGTTTAATCCAAGTATTTACTCAAGTCTCCTTCAGCTACTGGTATCTAAAGTACCAACTTCAATCAGACAGTCATTAGGGGAGGTATGCGTTGGCATTTTAAATACTCATACTCATTTTTATATTCCTTTAGCAAACCTTTACATGACCTCTGAAGGGAATAAATGACAGGTTCTCCAGGAACAGGATATCCAGAATCTGAATCACAATTCCATTTTAAAACAATATCCTACTAGAAAATCCAGTTATCTGGAACAGTCACTGATTTGCATAAACAGTTGTAAGTGCTCACTACATCCCAAACTAAGCTCCCCTCACACACACACACAAACCCAACTACACTGTGTGTGCCTAGCCAAGTGATTTTACTCCACACTATATAGTCAGGTGGTTGCAGAAGAAAACCACAAGATTTCTTCTGGGTGTAATCCAGCTACTGTGTTTTACATATGCCTTCATTTTAATTGGTTCATTTTCTTTAAGGAGCCTTTTTGATTCATTTGAAATATATTTTTCTAACTTTCTAACCAAACAAAGCAGCTATCTTTTAAGTCACCAGCCTCACTATAGGCAGTGCCTTAAAATGTAGTCCATCTAATACAATGACTGAAGCAGGGATCTGTGACTAATTACAGATTACACCAAACCATCAACACAGAGACAGAATTAAGGTTGAACAGGCAACCATGCCTTTGATATCTCCTGACTTTGAACTATTTGATCTTACAAACCAAATAACTGTCTGTTTGGGGGTGTGTGTGTTCCCTTTAAACATTCTAGAAGACAGTAAAAAAGGAAAGAAAAGATTTCATATGTGAGTCTAACAATAGCCATGCTACCCATTATGGATCAGTTAAAGCTTTAATACCATTCCAAAAGACAGACCACTGACAGAAAAGAAGGATGCTGAGAATCAGCCACTACAAGAATGACACAAAACAAGACACAGCAGAGAAGTGGCTCAGAAACACCACAACCAAGTGGTGAGTCAAACCCAGGGCCTCATGATCCCCCCAATACACAGCATGTTTCCACATATTTTGAAGGTGACAGTTACAGTACCCGGAAGATCATTCTGTTTGAACTGAAAAGTGACTCAGTTGCTGTGCTGAAAAACTCTTGTAGTTGTACAGAGAGTGATAAAAATATTTCCCTCTCCAAAGTACCAATGAGTAAACTTGTTATTTATGGAGAAAAAAACACTGATGTCTTTGGTGGGGTGAGGAACTACTCAAACTCTACATGCATTGACTTGGCAGACCCACCCTTCCAACTACTTGTAAAGATAGTTGTTAGCGTCTTCCAGCAGAGCAATCCTTCCTTCCCTCTACTGTATTTTAAGTGCTAGCAATCTCCTCTAGGTTAAAAAAACAAACCCCCAAACCACCCCAAAAAACCCAAACCAGAAAAGTACCCCACCAAAAGTGGGAGAAGAATACAGTCCCCCTGGTAAGGGAAAGATACACACAACCAGTATGCACAAGTACTCATGATATAATCCATTCTACCTTGATTACCAAAGATATTTTTCACACTTGAGGCAAATGCTTCGCTGTTTATTCATAGAGTATTTCAACTCTAGAAATCTTCGGTTTAAGAGATGACCATTGGTTTGGATAAAGCCAAAGTATGCAAGTTTTACAGAATAATTACTCATTTTAGTAAGCTGTGTTGACTTACTTCTCTTTGTCCCATTAGAAAGCATTCGGCAGCAATGGCTCTGAGGAAAAGAAATATACACAAATATTTATTCTTGAATGATTTTAAATGCCATTAATGGCAGAATACTGACTGTGGAATGGAATTACAAATTCCTTGAGAAGAAACTGACTAGCTTCCAATGATGTTACTCTACAGTGAAAAGATAAAAAAAGCCATTTTTTAAAAACAACCTTACATGAGCAAGACATTTCAGTGGTTCCCCATTATGAACAAACACTGAAGAAAAAGATCAGTTCAGCATCACTGGATAATGGAGATTACTGCTATTGTGATATATAAAGGGGAGGGTAGAGAGGGGGAGACAGAAGTCAATAATTGAATTAAAAAGACAACGTGTAAATACATCATTCATATTTATCCGCGTAATATCCATCCACATAAGTTTTCCCAAGAGGGAAATTCCATTTCTCATTTTAAAGAGAGACAGTACCTCTGTCTGTTGTAATGAACAGTTACCATTTAAATAATAAACTAACAAAAGAGAGACTTCCAGTACAAGCCCAATTGGAAGGACATTTAAGATTTACCTTTGTGATGTAAACCTTATAAACAAAAGCAATATCTATGAAAACAGATGTATGACTGTTGCATTACATTTTCCAGATGGCCAGGCATGTTGGGATATTATATGTAAACATCTTGGCTTGCAGTTTCAGAATTTGAACATTGCTCTCCTCCCAGTATTGCAGAAGCAGTCTGTAAAAGGCATTCATGAGAAACACTGCTCTAATCACTGGGAACAGAAAAGCAATCCAAAGATACAAACACATTAAACAAAATATATTCTACCTAAATTGAGCCGAGACTTGCAAGTAGGAAAAAAACCCAAGCCACCATATACAATAATTGACTGAACACGCTCTCAGAACAAAACAAAGATACACTTCCCGAAGAACAACTAAGAAGCATGAAATCAGAGAGAAAAGATCATCCATTTTTAGCATGCAAAAGGTAACAGTATATTTGAAAGGAGGCTAATTATAGTCATGTGGTTAGGAGATACTGTTCAGTCAGTTCTGCTCACCCATTTCATGTAGTATCAACATTGTCTAAGGAAGCTGCAAGTTCCATCTAGACAGAATCGCAACTTGGTTTAAAATGCAGCAATTCAACTTCGTGTGCCAAAGGAAGGTGTGTCATACTCTCCCCATGCCCCCAACCACACACACTTATTTCAAATCTTGCTTTGAATTCTTTGGGGTCACTGTTGATGATGAACAGTAAGTGTTTGGGGACTTTTCACAATTATTCAATCAAATGTTCATGAGTTCACTGCAGCTGAATACGGTAAAACATGGACTCTCTAATCCTGAAAGAGTACATTTTGAAATACTGTTCAAGTAAGAATCACTGTGATACTTACATTAACCGTTTTTGTTTCCAGTAAGATTTTTTCAAAAACTAAGAATGCTTTGCTAAATAAATGTCAAGTTAAGCCTTAAGGTAGCACTGTTATACACTGGTGTATCCATTTTTATTTGTTCTATGCTGGAACTATACTTTTAATACACTGTTAAGTAACAAGATTTTAATATTTATTGACATTTCTCTATACACTTGAAATTTTGACCATTTGTACTCATCATTTACAATGCAGAGTTAATTCCTGTATAATTATAACCTTTCTGTAGATAGAACAGAACCCTGTCAAATACAAGAAAGATTGAGATTATGTCAGAAGGCACAATATGCCTCAAGCAACATGCAATAATAGAAGAAAAGTTTTACTTTTGTAGTAGAAAGCAAGTCATGCATGTCTTGCACAAAACCCAATAGCTTTGTTAACCAGCTATTTGTCTTGATTACAAGTATTTTTACATACCTCAGTGCAAGTCCAGGATTAGCAGGCATGGTAGAACAAAACCGTTCCAAGGTTTTGGAATGTTGAGATTTTGGAATGCAGCTCAAATAAAAAAGAATTACCTGCAGAATTTGAATTATAAACATTAATCCACTTTATAGCTGTCTAATTTTTCTAAGAATAATGGAATGATAAACTATGAACATTATGACTAAAGTGAGTTACCACCTACAAACCTTATCAACTATAAACCCTATCCCTCAAGGGTACAGAAATCAATCTGTATAATAAAAAGTTAGTGTCAAGTTGCTAACACCACATATTTTAGTCCTTCTAGTCTGCATTTAATGAGTAAGGAGAAATGCACTGTCTACATAAGTGCTCAACTTTATAATCCAACTTCTACTTTATTTCTTCTGTTTCTCAACCACTGTAATTTCTATGATCAAAACTGACAGCTTAAATACAGTTTCCATCTGCCAGTGTTACAGCACTGCAGACCCCTCTTGCTCATTTTCTCTTTTCTCTAGGACAGAACAGTTTGTCATTAACAGCTGTATTTACAGTATTAAGGATATTGTACTAAGTTTCTCTTTTCCTTACACACCCTGTCTTCAAAAGGTTACTGCTAGATAGTCTTCTGCTCAGAACACTACTGTTGTCAGATACTTGTTTCTTTTCCTACTAACTCCTAGCTCTCAGTGTTCCTACACTACTGGTGCATATTTGAACAAGTAAATTACAGGTACCTGCTAAAAGGTCATCCATCTCTTTGCTTAATTAGTACTATCCACAGACACATTTTTACCTTATTATGAAACTCATAATTGGTCCAATAATCAGCAGTACTAAAAGGAATTGGGTATCGTGTGGGGACTGTAACCAGACATCTGTTCACTAGGTCAGTAAAAAGCTTGAATTCTTGAACTTTGTTGTTGGATCCAACAACTTTGCTATTGATAAAAACAAGGTAACTGGAAGAAAAAAAAAAAAAGAAAAAAGATGGTTCTGGTAGCCTTCACTTAATAGTTTTGAGATTAATTTACTTTCCTCCCTTAAGAACTTACTCCAGCCAGATGTTCTGAACAGTTTCCTGCTGCATCACTGCCCCCAGAGCTGCTTCATAAGCATCCAGTGCTTCCCCAAAACTCGCGTGAAGAGACTGGCACAAACTGTTTATATTAAAAGTTAAAAAGTTTTGCATGTCATAAACAATGCATGTTCTTACATATTAGGAGTAAGAAACAACAAAGAATTTCCCATTCTAAGATGCAAGAAAAAACAGTGGTTTCAGTTTAGCAGCATTATGGACTAATTTACCAGGTAATAAGGAATAATGCAGAAACCATGCAGTTTAAAATGCAACTCTTACACAGAAATGAAATATTATGAATTGTCTTATACTTTTGTAAAGTACCCTTTTACTAATCCTTTTAATAGGGATTGCTCTGACTGCTACAGAATGGAGACAAGTCTTGAGTTTCCATTTGGAAAGCTCCAGAACAATAAATTTCAAAGTCAGATTACAACCACTTGAGAAATGGTATCAGACTGTAGCAACAAAATTAGTGTTCTGAAACAAAAGCTACTGGGGATCTAGGGTAGAAATATGCCGATTATGTCAGGAAAAAGAAAATAGTAAAAAAACCCTTAATGTTATTCCACAGGTACTCAAAGAAGCATATGGTCAGACCAATATATATAGGACCTTGCCGAAGACAAAAGTAGATACATTTTTTGACTAAGATTCAGTGAACAATCCTTATTTCAAAGTGTAAGGTAACAGTGAAAAAACAGCAAAATTTTCAATAAATCATAAGAAGGGGAAAAAAAAAACCCACCTCACAAAGAGGAAGACTACAGAAATGCAAAATAAGGCAGGGCTGATGTTGCCACCTTGCTACAGAATCCTCCAAACTAGGGTCACACAATCAGTGTGCCTGATTTTACCCCTGCTTTCCCCAAGAACTACAAGCTAAATCACCGATTCACTATTCTTTCTAAAAAAGTGTGTATACATTTGTGCTCACACATACACGTGTACACACACAATGATATTTCCAAGAAAACATTGTTCCTTGAGCTTTGAGGCTTTGCTGATTTCAACCTGACGATTTTTACTTGGTAAAGGTGAACTTTTATGTCTTTTGTCCTCTGTACCTGAAAAAAAAAAAAAAGACAGATACATAGGCCCAAAGACCTCGGCACTTACTGTAACAAAACTCAACCACAGAAACGCTCGATTATTAGCTCTGAAAGTAATTTTGGCCCTTATTTCAAAAGCACCAATTTTCTTCTTAGAAGCAGGTGCTAAAATAGATGCATCTGAGCTTAAGTTAAGGTCCCTAATGTGTGACCTCAAGTGCCTTTCTAACAATGTTTCTACTGTGGAAGTACCAAACTTAAAATTGAACTTTGAGTTATTTTCTAAAAATTTAAATTGGTATTAATGGACAACATAAAAAGAAAATATTAGGATAACTTATCTAAACCTTATATAAAAGATTTTCTTGAAAACCATACATTTTACCTGCTTATAAGTTGTCCACCAATTAAAAACTATAATCAACAGTGTTGAAGGAGTTCTGAGGAGTCCTCACTCAGTATCTGAAGCATTATCATCTTTGCCCCTTTACTTATCTGAAAGGCCAAATAGCTACTTGTGAAGACTGACAAATCCAGACCAAAGTGATAAACTTCTTAAATAGCTTAAATCAACATCTCAGTAACACATTTATACTAGTGTAAGTTACAGATGACTAATACTTTGGTGCTTCCCAACCCTAGATACTGCTGCTATCAAAAGAAACAAAAAAATGGTGGAAGAAACAAAACAAAAAATGTGTATACATGACAAGGATCTGTCACCTTTGCAATCTCTTGCAGAGCAAAAGGTCACTTTGCTGTATTACTTTGCTACGGAGGGGCATCTGTAGCTAGTTTCAACTTTTATAGTCTGTTGATAGTAGCTCCATAAACAGCTGAAACAGTGGGTCAAGGAAGGTGGGGAGACCAGGGCTAAATAATGTTAAACACAGTGGGGGAAACTATTGTAAAATAAATGGGAGACAACTGAAAGCCAAAAGAAAGTGACCTAAAACAAAAGTAAAAAAAAAAATTGTTTTCTGAGATGAACACACCTGTTACTGTTCCCATAGGACAGAATTTCTGAAAGATTTCTCAAGTGGAGAATTTAAGTTGATGTGCAATTCACAGTTCCATGAAATTGTCTCTGTTGTGCAGCAGGCAGGTAGGTTCTCTAAGGACTAGCAGATGATTTATTATTGAAAGAACCCAAAGTGATATACCCTTAGGCAAATAATGAATGTTCTGCTGTTGAAAATGCAATTTACTCTGACCCAATAGCTGTTTCTCAGAAACACTTTAGAAAGTCTCACCAGTAGATCTGCCACAGATAAGGGATTTGCTGGTTTACAGTATCATCTGTAAGATGTTCTTTATAGAGAGGTGATGTAAATTCAATTGGCATTGGAAAATTCAAGAGATATCTACAAGAAAAAAGAAGTATAATAAATGAGAAGATCCCTCTACATGGAAGAGTGCTATGTGGATGTAACATTTACTTATGAAATTCAGTTTGTGGTATGTATTAGAGACACACTTTTCTTAGATCTTAGTTTAACTCTATCCAGATAGAATTTATACAGAAACCATTACATGTAACTATAGAGACAGTTAATATAGAAACCATTTACTCCATTATGTACAAAGTTAAATGTTGCTTTATATCTCAGACTTCCCCCTCCCCACATAAAATACATCGAGTAAGGCACAGTCTATACAGTCAGCTAAGCTACATTGCCAGTACTACATTTAATGTAAACAGCAATAAAACATAACACCTAACTTGGAGATAAAAACATTTCAAAAAGTCTCATCTGCACAAGCATCAGGACAGAAAGTCTTCCTTTGAAGGCCTTCAGAGACATCTATTTTTGTTGGAGTGAGCCTAGAGGAGGGCCATGAAGATGATCAGAGGGCTGGAGCACCTCTCCTATGCAGACAGGCTCAGAGAGTTGAAGTTGTTCAGCCTGGAGAAGAGAAGGCTCTGGGGAGACCTTACAGCAGCCTTCCAGTACCTAAATGGGGCCTACACAAAAGCTGGACAGGGACTGTTTACAAGGGCATAGTGATAGGACAAGGAGTAATAGTGTTAAACTGAAGGAGGGTTATTAAGTTAGATATCAAGAAGAAATTCTTCTCTGTGAGGATGGTGAGACACTGGAACAGGCTGCCCAGAAGAGCTGTGGAGAACACTTCCAGGGAGGGGGGCAAAGGCCAGGTTGGATGGGGGCAACCTGGTCTAGTGGAGGGTGTCCCTGCCCATGGCAGGGGAGCTGGAACTAGATGGTCTTTGAGGTCCCTTCCAACCCAAACCACTCTATGATTCTAAGACTATAGGGAACTCATATATTTCAAAACTTCAGTAAGTCTCTCAATTAGGTGCTAAAATTCAAGTGGAAAAATCAGCAGGCTAGATAGAAACCTGAGCCTTTTCACCAATAATAATCTGCTGATTAATAGCATGCTGGACCTCTAGATTTAGGGCTTTTGCAAGTGCTTAAATGTAGTACTTTAGGTATGCAATTTTAGGCTCCTAGCTTTGAAAAAAACCAGAAAACCAACAAAATCCACACCAATTTTGGCATACATGTGATTTGATTTTCATTCCCCAAATCCAGATGTTAAACTTGCTGGCTGTTTCATTTTTAAGTGCTCATGGTTTTACAATTTAGTGTACATGCACAAACAACAAGTATAAGCCTTTATAAACCACCAAATTATAATCCACTGAAGATTTAGCAAAACACTCCAAGCTAAAAATAGATGAGTTCAAAAGTTCTGGGCTGTCTTGTTTTTTCAAGAAAATACCAGTATTACCAAAGTTTAAATAGAAAAAATATTCTAAATGTACCTTAAGAGATCCATAGGACCATGCTCTTGGCACATATTCTCAAAGAAAGCTGCCACAAAATCTTGCAACAGTGGAAGAATACTGCTTGACCTTTCCTGTTTTGGTGTTTTATTTTTTAAAAAGAAAAATATGAAAATCAGACATCAATCTGAAAGTGACAAGAACAATTTAAGCACAATAACTAGCAAGTGGTGTGTCTATCTCTGCAATGCTCCGTTGTCTAAATTTTCTCAAAAAGGACGTCTCACTGGGTCAGTCAGCAAGTAGCAGAAAAAAGCTGAAAACATTCCAGGGTTTACTGTTAATGTCTATTTTCTTGCCTAAGGATATTAACACTGGATTAGAACAATCTGAACTATACGTTTATGATTTTATGTAATTTCTTTGACTACCTTTGACCACATCACTAATCTTGCCAATTTATTTTTCCCATCTATATAAAGCAGTACTAGATGTTACAAAAAATATCATGAGGATCACTTACTGTGGTAAGTGTTTGAAACATCACACAAAACCCAAACTCTATAAAGCCTGCAGACCAACAAAATTAGTCGTGGACTATTACCTGTGAAACAAGGAATTTACACAACTGATAAAAGATTTCTGCATTCTGAGGATTCCTCTCAAAAGCTCCAATCCACACTTTGTAGGCATTGTCACTCTGATCCATCTGCAAATACAAGGTGGCCAAACTCTCCAAGAGGTGGCAGTTGTCAGGGCAGAGCTCCAATAAAGATCTACAGAGTTCTGCAGCAGACTCCCACCTTTAAGAAAAGTAAAGGTAAGTTTTCAAAAGAACAGAGTTGAGTACTCCAATTAAAAATGTCTTGAAACAACTTACCTTTCAAGAAGTTTCAGCAAAGCTATCATGTTTCTATAGAGAGGAAAGCAGATAGCTATTCTTTTGTCAGCCTCAAGGCTTTCATCGGTACATGCTTTGACTGCATCTTCAAAACAGAAGTATAAAATCAAGTCTTTAGACCTCAAGCAATGTCAAAGTTATTTGAAGCCTTAACATAATAAAAAGTCTCATTTAACATACTAAAAATACTTAAGTGTGGAAAGATATTTCTGAGTGTGCTGCTTTTGCAAATTATTAAAAAAAGGAAGATGACCATCTTTGGAAAAGCTTTCTTAACACTTATCACCGCAAAGACAAAAGTCTTTCAGAAGTTCCATCCCTCATTTGTTTAAAAAACAGGAAACATCCTACCCATTAAACATTCAAGCCACACTACAGATAACAGTTATTATTATATTTAAAACTACATTCCAGGATTTCCAGCATAGCTGAAAGCTATTGAGACAAAAGCTAATACAAGATATTATTTTTCTTCTTAGCATAATAAAAAGTTACCCAACAATGAACACCCCATTATCATGGCTAGACTGCCTTCACTCCCACAATTGGGCTACTCAATCTGTCTTTGATTACTTCCATACTGCATTACTACTTGCAGCACAGATATATTCTCAGTGGCAATTCAACGTTAGTGCTAGCTAACATGCAAAGTACTGACATTTATACAATGCTATTATAAAGTCTACCTCTGGCAGCACAAGAATTCAATTTCTTCTAGTATCTTCATTTTACATATTTTAAAAAAATTAATCAGTTTACTTAAACTTTGAATGAAGACAAACACATGCATTGCTCTGCCTCTAAGGCAACACACTAATCTTCCAGGAAAGTAATTTTCCAATAAACACATCCCATTGCAGGGACAGAGGGTTAAGAGAGAACTCCAACAGAAATTTGGCTTTACGCCTGCAGAAGCCCAAGAAAACTAGCAGTGTCATACTGTCACAAGCCACCAGTCTTTATCTTGATAGAATATCATATTTCAGAGAAAAAACTATGGCTTTGAACCATAGATGAAAAACCTCAGTGTGTGTGTGTTGAGTATCTGAGAACACAGACTTTCCTCACTGCTCTGTTCAAATTCAGATGAAATATTCACTGGATTAATCCCAATGGCTTAACATAGTCATCAGCAATATTGCACTGCCTTGAAAATCCAAAAGTTGGATAATATTTCTTGACTTACAACACCTGAGTAATGTATTAAGTAGTTTACCTCTTTAATCTTACCTTCAAACATAGCTAATAGCATATCAGGATCAGTCTTCACATCTTGAACCGTTTGCCATGGTATCAAAAATGGCTCTTTGTTCATGATCCTTGAAGGACTGACATTAGCTGGATCATAGAACTTGACTGGGAGAATGCCGAATTCAGTTAGATGTATGTAAGCCAGCCAAGCCAAGCAACGGTCACTTACAGTAAGGTGTTCTGATATTACCTTTTCATTTGCAGTTTTTAAAGCATTCTGTAAAGGTTAGAAGAAATAAAATGTTTCAACCATTAAAATCTTTCAGACTTAAGAATGAGAAAAGGAAATAGGAAGAATAAGTTTTAATATTCTCAAGTCTTTTCCATAGAAAAGACAGGAACTAATTTTTACATCAATCATGATTATATTTGGCTTACGTAAAAGTGTGACAGTATTCAAATTCCATGCATAATTTCTAGTAACAGGTTTAGAAAAACTGTAGAAGATTGTTATTTTGAAAGGTGAATGGAGATAGACTTTGATAGTGTCCCCCAACATGTGTTCCACTTTTCTACTTAATTCTTGGACAATTACTTCTAGTTGCACAAAAATACTACATTAGGCTTTAGAGACAACTCATCTACAAGTTGGATTCAGTTTGCTACATCCTACTGGGTTTTATGGGTTGGGGGTTTTTTTGGTGGTTTTTTTGTTGTTGGGTTTTGTTTTTTATTGAGTTCTAGTTATCCAGCTACCAAGTTACAGCTATTCAAGTTTACTGAGAGCACCACCATCTCTAGACATATTGTTTAAAAAAGTGTTGGAAATGTTACTGAGAATAAAGATATTGCTTCAAATTTTCCTACCAGTCATACGCAAAACTAGAACAGCCCACTTAAATTGGCAGATACCAAATAAAAATCATTATAGCATACAATTAGACAAAGTCTAAACACAACTGCTCATAAACCAGAACAGAATTTCATGGCTAGTGATGTGCCAGCATTTTTCTGGATAAATGCAGCACTATCAAAGAATGTACTTTCAAGGGAACAAAAGTACTTGCAAATTTAGGCCA